GATACTCAAGTAATGAACTCTAAACATATTGATGAAAATGTTCACAATCAAGACCGGGATTAGTGGCTCAAGACGCATTGATTCTCTCTAATATACGTAAAGTGCAGGGTTAGTGCTACAATACTTGTGCCTTCCCTATAACCAAATCTAGGTGTGCTTAGTACTTCGATTCAATTACAAGAAAAACTCATTAAGTTCAAAGAGAATATGAACATCACAAGAACCCTAATAATATGATGTTTACATTAGGCATCCAAGAAAGAAACCAATTCACATGGATGATTCTTACTTCATCCATTTGTTGCTTAGGAAAACATGAGGATACACATAATCCCAACAACCTCAAGAAGCATGCTTTCAAAGGTGATCAATCAAAGAAAAACATACATCAAGGATAGATTATTTTAGTGAAGAGGAATTCATGTTGTCAAGAAACCAATTCACATGATGCTCACTTAAACAAGTTCAATCATTTGTTGCTAATTAGAAATTATGTTCTTGGGTATCTTACACAACTTCTCAACTTTAGCTACATGCATACAACCTAAGGTGATCAATCAAAGGAAGCAAACACATATCATAAGATTCAATTAGTGAATGGGATCCATCAACAACATCTAAAAATTCATAAACTCAAAGCATCAAAACAAAAGTGTAATCATGTTTAGGGCTTAAGCCAAAGCCCTAGAAAAATAAGAAGTTACATTGAAACTAAGAAATTACAATAAACAAATAAAATGAAAGAAACTAAGAACAAAGAGGGGAAAGAGAATTGCATCTTCAACCCCTTGGATCCTTGCCTCAAGGCTCCCCAAGGTTCTCTCCAATTGTTATGTCATTCTCCCCCTTCCTTGGTTGCTCCTTGCTCTCCTCCTTCTAGCTCTCTCTAGCTCTCTGCAAAAATGGAATGAATAATACTGATCTCCAGCTCCCAAACTTGCTCAATAGCTCTGTCCAATGTCGAATGCCATGTGCTTGGCTGATGCCTTGCCCTTTTGCTCTTTCTCTCTCCTCCTTTCCAACTAATGGCTAAAGCCTTTGTCTCCTCGTCTCCTCCTCATGATGATGTTTTGTTTTGTTTTTAATATATTCCAAGGCTGCCTTTGACTCAGAAAATTCCACTTAAGTAAAGTAATTTATTGTTACCAAATGGCATGGTAACAAGTAGAAGTAAGATGACACCAAGTGAAGGTAAAACTGGTCCAAAACAGATTTCCAAAGTTGTGGTAACATGCTGGATCAGCTGGATAGGCTGGCTAGGCAATACTTGCTCAATGAAGCTCAAAGTCGGATATGTTGTAGTTAACATCCATTGGAACAAGTTTCATAAAGATCTTCACCTCATCCGAGCACCGGAGCTTGTTGATCCAAGGCCAAGAAGTTGACCTACGAAAATGAACAAAAACAGAATTTATAACCAATAATGCATTTTTAGCTCATTTTCATTCTAACCAAGGTAAAACCTATGAAAACAAAAAAAGGAAGTAAAAAGCTATAAAATGTCAAGAACTAACTCAAAATATTAGGTGAATAACATGATAAATCATGTGTAAAAATAAACCGAACACCAACCCATCCTTTATTTATAGACAGAGGAGGGACATGAACCACAAACACAGTCTGCTCCAAGGAGAGGAAATCACGACTTGTCGAATATGAACAAGGAACATGAACAAACTATTGACAGGTTTGGAAACAGCAACAAGGCGACGCTCAAGGATTTTGATCTACAAGGACAAGTAGGAGAGAGCATCATATACGTTCATCAGCCCATATGGGGCTCCGACCATGTTTGAAAATAGATAGTGAAAATAATATAATACTGTTTAAGAAAAACAATTAAAAGAATATGCACAACACAAACCATTTCCATATAATATAGGATCCAAAAACAGTTGGCATGCTCACACAACTTTCGCAAACGTTTATCGGGTACCCATAATCTACTTGTCTGACGACCGATTCCTGTAGGCCAACTACCCCTACCAGAAATAAAAATATAACCAACTTACCTCGTATGGTAGCGAGAGTGTCCTTCAAGTTCCATCCTTGGTCCAAAAACAGCCAGTTCACGGTACGGTAAGGTTAAAGTCCAAATAATCTAATATTGTTCATACATCTGGACTAGAGGAAATAGGTATAATTGGTTCTGGTAATAATAGTCGAAAGAAAATGTGAAATATAGGCCCATCAGAATATTTTGATGAGAATTCAAAAAGGCAGAGTAACAGTATAAGGGTTCAATTTTAGGAATAACTTGGAAAATTACCCAATTTTAAAAAATAGAATTAATTAAATTTACCAATTTTAAATTGGGCAGAGTTACACTTTAGAAAAAGGAATATGGAATTAAAAAGAATGAAATACGAGATAAGGAATAGGAATTACCTTGGTAAAACAGTGAGATGAATAGTAAGTTGAGTGAATAGTATCCCAGATGAAGATGACATGAAACGATGAATAGTAGACACGATGAGCGGTTTCGAGTATAAATAGTGGTCTTGGATGAATAGTAACTGGGATAAATAGTGACTTTAATGGTGGAGGAGGAGAGGAAGAGAGGGAGGAATGTTTTGGAGAGTTTGGGTGTGAGGAGAAATGGAGGGGATGAATTGTATTTATAGAAAGTCATTTATGGTATAATCATTATTTAGGGTTGAGTTTGGCCGGAGTTGGATTTCAATGCCTTGGCCTAAGCCCGCCCATGGACATCAGGCTTTCATGGGCTTGACCTGGCTAGGCTAGGCTTACCCATTGAAATTGTATTTTTTTAAAATTAATATTAAACTATGTATTGCATATTATAGACTAAATATATTGTATCTTAGATTAAGTACGTTAGTTCTAGATTATAATCGTACACTAGAGGATAGTAGAACTTGTATTTCATTAGTACCTTCATCTTTCAATCTCCTAACATACCTCTAAACATTGCATCTAGATGAATGTCATTGGTCATTAAAGAACATCTCTGCACTCAGAGAACTAACGAAACTTGAGATTCTTAGCATGAAAAATCTTCTTTTGAGGAATTACCAAAAGCAATAGGAAACTTGGCCAATCTGAGATTGTTGGATTTGACTTCGAATACCAGTGTTAAGATAATTCCATCCAAAGTAATGTCTAGGTGGTCTAGGTTATATGAACTACGCATGGAAAGTAGTTGTAGAGACTAGGGGAGTAAAGTTGAAAGATCATGAGAAAGAATTAATGTTGGTGTTGATGAGTTAACTTGCTAGTCGTACTTAAACGTTTTGATAGTTCAAATTTTTTATGCACAATGCATTCCTAAATATGTTTGGTTCCATCCGAATTGGGAAAAATTCTGCATATTTATCAAGGGTAAACCAAGACCCTTATACTCAATGGAGGAGGCTAAAAAAACCAACCGAACCATTTAGGATTGGTTCCCGTCCTAATTCTTGCCTTGGAAAAATCGATTCAAATTGAATTAGACCAGTTTTGTTAAGCGTACATATTCATTAATATCCAAGTTTATTAGTAAGCCAAATTAATATTCAAATCTCATTGGTAACCCAAAGTAATATGTCGATACTTTAGCCCAATTAATACTCAACTAAATAACAACTCTAGGTTTTCTTTCAGTGAATCTTACTCATTTATTGTTGTGTCTCTTTTTCACTTCTTCGTTTTCCTCTCTCTTGCCCATTATCTCTTCACCTCTTTCCCTATTGTATATTTTATCTTTTCCTATTTCACTCTTCTTTCTATTTAACTATTCTTCTCATTTCTCTCTTCACATCATCCTCTTTTTCTCTTCTTCCAAACCACAAACGTTTTATTAAAACTGAACCAAACTAGATCTTGTGTAAGTTTGGGTTTTGGTTCCAATTCGAGGGATAAACCGGAACTTGACCACCTCGAGTCAAAACAAAACAACTTAAAAAACAATTACACACAATTAAAATATTGAAAAACTCCCTACAGTTATAGAAGTGCCATTAATCATGTCGTATTTTGTAGGCTGGGATGAGGGCTTATAAGAACCCTAACTCTCTGTTTTGATGAAGTAATTGAAAATTGCAAAGAATTTTTAAATGACAGAATTTAAATCTCCATCGTTTAGATTTCTTGCAATTAATAATTTCAATATTTGGATTTATGCATGTTAAATTTTGTAAATGACAAAAATCACAATGAGAAAGAATTCATGCTCAATAGAAATTGTGAAATGACGATTCTTTTGGTGAAAATTAAACTTAGGAACCCTGATTCCCAATTTCCATGGCTACTTAATTTCAGCAGTAATTTAGGGAAAGTTGTTCCCTAGTCTTTGGGCTACTTGGCTTGCTGTCACGATGCAATTGAGAGGGGTTATATTACCAGAATTCGAAGGCACATGGACAGACTATCTATCTCTAAAATAATATCAACTTCTCAACTTGCTTTCATTTCGGGGTTTCCAATTGACAACTCATGTTGAAACTCTTTATTTTGCAATCCTTTCTTCCTTAGATGGTATGATTTCCAATTGATGTCTAAATCATGTGATGATTTAAATACTAGTGCATTCCTGATTAAGTTTGTCCAAATTGGAGATATTTAAAAAAAAAAAATCAATCACAACAAGTTCTCTACTTAGAAGTTAGAGCGCAATGGCTTGAAAATGAGTTAAGATTTCATAATGCGCAAGACTATTCCAGTTTTATCTGAATTACCTCTTTCGATTGGGCTTAACAATACTAATAGCAGCACACTTGTGCAAACACATCATGCAAAACATACACCAGCCCACTAAAGGGCTTTGAATATTTAAGTTCATATAGTTTAGATTAGATTAAAGTAGAATATCGTTTGTATCAAAAACAATAAATAAATACAAAGCCACCCTTTTTGGGGTGAACAAATACAATACTAAATCAACTCTAACCAGAGCTGCTGCCTGTTGGGCATTCTAATCCTATATATAATGCTCACACTACCTCAAGATCTCATAAGATGCAGATAGCATACTTGAAAAATTAAAACCTGTCTTCTTCATTAACCCAAGTTCTCAGTGAAAATCATACTAGTATACAATTTGGATAAGACTCTACAAGGCACAAAGTCTGTATTAACAAACACAAATTTTATTTACCACAGATTTCCTAAACAAGGCTCAAACACCTGACAAGATGAAACCATCGAACACAAATTGGTAGCATAGATTTCATAAAACAGTTAACCACTCCGTAAATTGTTGCATGAAATGTCATTCATCTTTAAAAGAGGGGAGGGGGGAGAGAGAAATCTAAGGCACAGAAGACAACAAAGAACACAGAGAATCAAATGACAGTGACGATGGGGGCACACAGTCCATAGTTTTCATCATATTATGAGAAATACTTCAATTTCCCTGAAGAGCCGTCAGAAAACAGAAACATATCAAGATTATAGCACCAACTAATAACATATATAGTGAACTTTTTTCAAAAGAAAATGACATCTATCAATTTTCAAAACATGTGAAACAATACAATACTTAATAAAATTGAATCTTATATTCCCCAGACTATTGAAGAGAACTGACAATTTATGATCCACTACTAATGTAACAATTAGCTAGTAGAGAACTAAATGCAACAACTCAATTACTAATCTGTTTCTGTTTGGATTGTATATACGTACTCACACAATTACCTCAAGATCTCATATAGTCACATAATCCTATGAAAATTATATTAGTATGGGGTAAGGTAAGTGCAGAAAACAGATAACAGAACATTCTCCAATTCACACTGTCTGATTTGGACTTACAAGGTTTGACATTGGCCAACCGTATGCAACAAGATTTTGACCTAAACCAAAAAGAAAAACAAGATTAAATTGAATGTCCATTATGGGACACTTGATTCTCAATTAGACAATGGAATAGGTAAATCTATTATCTTTGTTTCTTTCCTTATGAGGTCCATTTATCCCCATATTTTCAGCCAATATGTCAATTCTTTTATTTTAATACGAACAATATTGATATTGAAATCATGCAAAAACAAAAAATTTAAAAAGAAAACCTTGGAGCTCAAACATCTTTGCACCTGAAAATAAGGTTCATCATCATACAAGATAAAACAAGCAATGAAGAATTGGGACCAAAGATTTCTTCAAGAGTATATTTCAGGAAAACGCAAACATTTGGATGGTAACCTTAATGTATTGTTATCTTAAAATATATATTGTTCAAACATATCAGTACCCGAAAATCTCCAACATCTCAATACGCGAAAATAAAGCTCAAACATCAAACAAGATAAACAAGCAATGAAGAATTGGAACCAAAGATGTGTTTAAACAAATTTTTAAATGATCTTATACATAATACTAGTGAAAACAAACCTAGGTCGCAAACTAACCCAACAACAAGGAAAGAGAGCAAGATATGTTTAGGCACAAAAGATATAGTAAAAACAAAAGTAAACACGATACCCATCAGAAAATCATAACACAAAGACAATATCATGCTCAATCAGAAGACTTACAATGACAATCAGAAAATCAGAACCCAAAGAGTTGACAGCAGTAGTTAAGAAAAGAAAATCCTATTAAAAGTTAAAGAAAAAGAAGCTCTTAAAATGCCTGACTTGCTTCTATCACCTGAAAAAGGGCCCGGGACATATACTGACCATAATTGAATCAAAATCAATTAACACAATGCTAAAATCAGAACAATCTACACACAACCCAAAAGTCCATACATTTTAAAAAATAAGCTTAATGTACAAGTTTTTAAACTGTAGAAGGGTAAACCAAGTCAAATTTATGGTGTGCCCAGCCAACCTTACTAGTTATTCTACTCTGATACACATAACAGTTAGAAACTATAGAGCAGGGATGGTATAATTTGAGATCAAACAGTAACAGAAACTGCGTCTGCTCCCCATTAGAAACTCTGCCCCACTGCAGGCTTAGAGCACTTCCAGCAGTTTGCCCTTTGCCATGGCTAGGGGCGGGGCTAGGGCAGCTACTATTCACATGAATAGTGGCTGCCATTGCAAAAAGCAATATGTGTTTCCACCCATTGCCATGGCAAAGGGCAAATACTATTCATTTTTTTGTTTTTTTCACAAATTTTTTTACCTAAACAATTAATTTGGATAATATTTTCGGATAAGATTTTTGGGTAGAAAGTGAAAAAAAAAACTTGGAAGTGAAAAAAATATTGAGTAGAAAGTGAATAATAGTTGGAGTAGAAAATGTATGAGTATTTGGTGTTAAAAGTGAAGAGTATTGGTTGGTATTTATAGGAAAAAATTTATTAATTTATTGGTATTTAAAAAAAAAAAATTCATTATTTTATTGCCAAAAAAAAAAATCAAATTCAAGGGCTGACGTCATCCCAAAACTCAGGCTGGACCTCAGGCTCGCCTTGCCCTCAGGCCAGCCTAGGCTCATGGACCCCACCTCCTGCCCGGGCCAGCCTTGGGGGCTGGAAACCCTTTTTTTGCCCAAATCCCCCCCCCTCCCCCCCAAGCCCGAGCCCAGCCTCCACGGCTGGAAATGCTCTTAGGCACATCAGAAAGTACATGGTTTTTGGTAAATGATGAGAACCAAGGATCCTGTTTAACATGTCCAAATAAAAATGGTTTCCTATTTTTATTGTTTGGAGTGCCCTCATCAGCTCTGGCAATTGTTTAAAACGTGGAACTTCTAAGGTTTCTGTTTATTTGATTTTCAGTCATTGATGATAATAAAAGAAAGATTGAGTGGACTTAAATTTGTGCTCATGTACATTGACAGAAAACGTTTGAAAAGGTGAAATATTACAATACCAAATGAACTCTAACCAGAGCTGTATACAATTTTATTTACCAGATACGGCAACTTATATAAAAAATTCACTGCTGCTTGCTGGGCATTCTAATCTATATATAATGCTCATACTACCTCAAGATATCATAAGATGCAGATAGTATACTTTAAAACTCACTTACAACCTTTCTTCTTCGTCAACCCGAGTTCTCAGTGAAAATCATACTAGTATGAGACAAACCTAAATTTTATTTACCACTGATTTCCTAAACAAGCTCAAAACATCTGATAAGACGAAACCAAAGAACACAAATAGGTAGCATAGATTTCCTAAACAGTAGCAGCTCTGTAAATTGTTGCATTAAATGTCATTAATCTTTAAAACATAACCATAGTGACAGCAACATAAATGAGACCCCAAAAAAAGAAACAAAAAAGGAGGGAGAAATCTAAGCCACAAAAGAAAAAAACAAAGAAAACACTGATTGGGTTATTTCATAAATATAAAGGAGAAATGAAGATGGTGTACCTGATTATCAGTCACTGAAGCAAATGCCACTGCAGGGTTTAAAAGAAGGGGGCACACTCCATAGTTTTCCTTCATATTATGGCATTATTGACGCGAAGAGACAGTACAAGAGGGAAAAAAATATTGGGGGGACCTGACCAGCCAACAACCTTTGCAACTGAACATCTTTGACAAGAAATCCTTATTAAATCAAAACCAACATAAAGACGCAGAAACACTCTTTTACAAGGAATAATTTGTTGCTCAAGATGCTAAATATTCTGGCTTGCATCATTATCATTCTTTATTAAACCAAAAAGAAGAAAGAAAAACTAGCACAATGATAAACTCAGAAAGCAATGTACTCAGAACAAAAAAAAATAAACTTAATGACCAAGCACAATGCTAATGTTTCCAAGATATCTGGATGTCTAGGATTGCATCAGGCAGAGACAACTATATCCACATTGGAAATCTCATCTATAACACATTAGAAAGTAAAACTTAAAAGAGATTCCCTAATAATAGCAAGATTCTAAATTATCTATAACAAAATAGAAAATCCTGTTGAGGTGGCTCTCAAAGAAAGCATCAATTTGTGGGATGTGAATTCCTCAAACACTTTGAGATGTCTCAATTAAAAGAATGCAACTGAGTCCCTTGCACACCAACCTTCTCAACCGTTCCTATTGATCGTAAAATGTGAATCTAAGCCAATAGCTCCTTTATATCTCCACATGATGATCTTCACCGCATTATAAAAGTACTAACTTATCAACCCATGGTCTATAGCCAAGAAATTTAACTTATTGTCACCTCCCATGTACATGCTCAAAGATCTCATCGTCTTTGAGTGGCATATATAGATCCTTCTAAGCCAAGTAGGAACTATTTGAAACCAAAAAAAAAAAAAGGATTATAGCTTCCAAGACATCACTATAGAAGCTATTACAAAAAGATCACTGCACAGACCTTTTTATAGCACTTTTAGAAATGATTGTGATACATTATATTAATGAAAGTAGCAGTTTCTTAAGAACAATGTTAGCTAAGCATAAAGCAAAGATAACGAATCATTTACTGTATGGAAGGTCACAAGAAAACCTATTAGAACAATCAATAATGGAATTTTCACTCCATTTTCCTTTTCAAGTTAACAAAAACAAATATTATCTATAATATAAAATCTTTAGCAATTTTACCTGAAATAGCCATGATATAACCCTTATTGAAGAGATGATGAAGGCCACACAACTCCAATAGCAATGCAAACTGTACCAGCCACCAAGCCAAAAGAAATTGAAAGAAAAAACTATTATAAAGAGCAATCCCAAGCTTCTATACTAGCTCAAACGAAATTTGGATAAGTGCAGGGAATAGCAAACTGAAAACTCTACAGGGCACAAAGTGTGTATTAACAAACCCAATTTTTATTTACCTAGCTTTCCTAAACAAGGCATAAACACCAGACAAGATGAAACCAACAAACACAAATTGGTAGCATAGATTTCCTAAACAGTAGCAGCTCTGTAAATTGTTGCATGAAATGTCATTCATCTTTAAAGCATAAATTTTGAGGTGAAACGGAGATGGGGTACCTGATTATCAGGGTTACTGAAGCAAATGCCAATGCTGGGATTAGACGTGTGGGGCACACACTCCATAGCAACAACCCTTGCAACTGAACAGCTTATACAAGAAATCATTTTATTTGTACAGTTGCAAAACACTTATTCATCATTTCATTCCTTTAATAAATCAAAACAGACTTAAAGATGCAGAAACCTGATTAGCTGGAGTTTGGAATTTCTCTATGGTTTGCGTTCATAGGGAAAGAAAAGCTGCTGCTGATGCACCTGCGAAGATGGGGAATTGTCTCCAAGTTCTTGATAAGCTTCCGTGTGATTTGATTTCAGTTTTATTGCCAACTTACATCCTTTTGTCCCTCATGCCCAAACCATTCGCTCTCAGTTGCATTAGCCATCAAATAGCAATCACACAAAAACTGGCATAAAAAAAAAAACAAAATAAACAATACAAAGAGTAGAGAGAGAGCAAAATGGTCCACTTCATCTGACACGTACAATGTATGATATGATATGTATAATGTATATGGCCAATGAACATGGGTAGTATACACAAACACACACAACAGAAAATACACACTTTGTCTTCAGTTGTATCCTGGAAAAAGTTCCAAGAAGTAAAACATTTTAGAAACGATATCCACATTGGAAACCTCATCTATAACAAATTATATCCTGGAACATACAAACATGTTATCTTATATGCATCATAACAGTGCATACTTTGCTAATGTTTCCAAGATATCTAGATGTGTAGGATTGCATCGGGCAGATACAACTATATCCACATTGGAAACCTCATCTATAACAAATTAGAAAGTAAAACTTAAAGAGATTCCCTAATAGCAAGATTCTAAGTCATCTATCTTGTCCAGCAGTGGGTTATATTCCAAATCTGGCATCTCAACAATAAAAAATCAGAATTACTATAGTATATAATCAACTACGATATACAACAAATAACAGGGGCAAGGTGGCTTGTAACCTGTACTTCATGAGCGGATCTCACCTTCCTCCCAATCGCCTTCCTGCCAGCAGATCTCGCCTTCCTCCCAATCTCCATTCAGAAAAGCCTCCTCGTCCTGACCCTGCAACTCGTCATCTTCCTTGAGGTACAAACCCAAATGCTTAAGGGGCAATCCAAGGTAGATCTTTTCACTGCCACAGCCGCACAGAATCTCAAGTTCTTTGAGATCCTTTAAAGGGTTCTCAAATTGGACTGACTTTTCCATGTTCAAAACGGCGTGGCGAGCTGATTCCCTTCGCTCCATCCGATGCATCAATTTTCTCCTTGGTGGAGAATCAGGTAGACCTTTAAGTATCTTGTTTGCTTTCCGTATTGTACCCGAAAATCGCATCTTGAGCGACTGAATTCGCCTAGCCTTACATGGAGAAAGATTGTCTGTGGCCTGATACATGGCATGATGAACAAGGGTGCCCAAGTCATCATCTTTGGTTGACTTAACTGAGTGAGAATCAGAAACCCCAACAACCCCTTGACTTTGCATAAGAACCCTACAAGCAGAAGAGCTCTTGCCATTTGGTCTCCGTTTGGGCAGAGGAGGAGTAGGAGGAGGACAAGCGGTCTTTGACATTTTCTCCTCAGCTTCTTTCCATTGGGTCTCAAAAACCCCACTAAGATGCTTGGCTGCTGCAAGATTTCTACTCCCAAGGGTGAAATATCTGAAAGCATTTGAGAAGATAAGCCTGACATCAGCAGCAAAGCCATCAGCGCTGGAGTAGACACCCCTCTCCAATTTCGATTTCACAGTACCCAAATCCATCGGCCTCCAGATTTCTTCGAAATAACCCGGCAAATTCTCAGCCACAGGATCAACAACAGGCTTGTTGAAGTAGCTCGCATGGCTGAGGTTCATCAGAGAATCCAAGACCTTAGAACAATCCAACGTCCCTTTTGAAGCAGATGAAGCCAAACCTTTGGCTTTGCGCAGAGGAAGACCAACAGTCGAATTTTCCTTCCGTTGGGTCTCAGAAACCCTAGAAGACCTCTTCCTCTTCTGGGTTTGACAGATTTCATCAAAACCCTCTTCTGTTTCTGGGTTGGCATTTTTTGTAGCAGACGAAGCCAAACCCTTGCACAGAGGAAGACCAACAGTCGACTTTTCCTCAACGGCTACATTCCGTTGGGTCTCAGAAACCCTAGAAGACCTCTTCCTCTTCTGGGTTTGACAGATTTCATCAAAACCCTCTTCTGATTCCTGGTTGGCATTTTTTGTAGCAGACGAAGCCAAACCCATGCACAGAGGAAGACCAACAGTCGACTTTTCCTCAACGGCTACATTCCGTTGGGTCTCAGAAACCCTAGAAGACCTCTTCCTCTTCTGGGTTTGACAGATTTCATCAAAACCCTCTTCTGATTCCTGGTTGGCATTTTTTGTAGCAGACGAAGCCAAACCCATGCACAGAGGAAGACCAACAGTCGACTTTTCCTCAACGGCTACATTCCGTTGGGTCTCAGAAACCCTAGAAGACCTCTTCCTCTTCTGGGTTTGACAGATTTCATCAAAACCCTCTTCTGATTCCTGGTTGGCATTTTTTGTAGCAGACGAAGCCAAACCCATGCACAGAGGAAGACCAACAGTCGACTTTTCCTCAACGGCTACATTCCGTTGGGTCTCAGAAACCCTAGAAGACCTCTTCCTCTTCTGGGTTTGACAGATTTCATCAAAACCCTCTTCTGATTCCTGGTTGGCATTTTTTGTAGCAGACGAAGCCAAACCCATGCACAGAGGAAGACCAACAGTCGACTTTTCCTCAACGGCTACATTCCGTTGGGTCTCAGAAACCCTAGAAGACCTCTTCCTCTTCTGGGTCTGAAACTGAAACTCAAAGGAACCAAAACCATCCTCCAATTGTCTGCGCTTTATAGCAGACCACGCCATTCTTGCTTTCAGAACCCAAAATTTCACACAGTGGTTACAGAGAGAGAACCGAGAAAATGCTATTTTGGTTTTCAAAATGTAAAATGAAAGGTCGGTGTGATAACTCGGTGACTCAGTTGCTGAGTTGTTGCGCGTAAAAAAGTAAAAAGTAAAAAAACACGGAAACACCAGCTGTTTTAATTAAATGCATATCATTAAACTCATTTAAACCAACTGCACACAAAATTTAAAAGAAGATAGTTTGATTTAACTTGTATATAAATGAATAAATATATTTTACCCATCATGCAAAATTTTGAGAACGTATTTTGCCTTTTCTATTGCCAAATTGGACTTAATTTGATTCAACTCACTCGGTATATTGGATTAGTTGATTAGTTAAAAGGTAAAATCAGAAGACATAGAATGAAAGAGATTGATTTATAGTATCTACAATAGAAAATATTTTCAATTTATAGCATCTACAATAGAAAATATTTTCACACGCATAAAGGTAGGATTAATTTTATTTTTTATTTTAAAGAATTATTGAAAGATAAGTAAATAAAAATATAATCAACATGACAATATTCATTAATTGACGTGGCATGACCACATTAACTGAAAATAAGGTCATCAACTAATGTGGTCAATCTTATGTGTCTAAATAGCATTTCTACTTATTTATTTATTTATAATTCTAACCTTTCACGTTATGTTATCAGTGAACCCATATTATAACACATGTATATTTTGATTCATATTAGAAGAAGTTTGCTTGGGATGAACATAATTTTTTATATTCTTTTTGCCAATGTAACATGCATATAAGGAAAATATTGAGCTTGATGTACAAGATATTATATGTCAGTATAAATTAGGCCAATATGGGTGGGTGTGTGTGCACGTGTGAAACCCCCTGTGAGCATGTGACTAGTTAATCCTCTCTTTACGCTTGGGTTTATTAGTCCCCTCCTAATGAGGAAGTCCTTCAAAAAGAAGGGGGACAGTGCTGCTGAGACCCGCCCTGCAACTGCAATACAATCCCAACAATTAGAACTTTTCCTCTTTCGGGTATCTTTTTAAGGATTGTGAGTTGGCCAAAACAGAAATCGCTTCAACATTTGATTTTAATGGCCAACATTTCACTGTTTAACTTGAAGGCACTATTTGTTTATTTATTTGAAGTTCAATAATTAAGTGGTTTTCAAGTTGACTGATTTTTCAAATTGCCTTCCCTATTTGTTTTGAAGCAAAGTAACCGTAAAAAGATCGAGACAAAACACCCCTAGAACGAAAACAGAAAACCAAGTTAGAGAAATAAGATTGATCTGCAAAAGACTACCAAAAGGGTAAAATTATAAACAACGCGACGATTTCTCAGATGGTCACAAATGCACAAACTCTTCCAGAGGAAAAGTGAGTTCAATTGCAGCCATAACTAACAAAAATAGATGGCAAGATTATTGTCTCCTAGCACTATACCATGGAAAGAGCCTTCTACTCTGGAGTCATATTTGAAAAATCTAACGCCCCATCACAACCTCGTCAAAGTTCCAGTCTTGCACGATGTCCCTTCTCACAGCCCGGCTTCGAACTAGCCGTGGAGCACCTGACATGGAACCGCTGTTTGGAAGAGTTGGTTGTGGGGTTACTTTGGATGATGCAATGTTGGAATGCGTTGGTAGTGGAAAAGATGGCCTCCTCGCTAAGCAGTTGGCAATGGCAGAACATCTTCCCTCATTTTCTGCACTTGAAACCGAGTAACTCCTAAAAGAGTGCGACGGATGGCACACCAGGAAAATGCAATGTGGGCCTTTTATATTCTCAACTATAAAATTCAAGTTTCACATTGCAAGTACTCAAACGCCTCACATTTTGCTTTATTATTTGAAAACATTGGTTTAGAAGATAAGACTCCAAAGCTTTACACAGACTCAAATATTATCTTCCATAAGCAATTCTCGCACCAAACCAAATATTATTCCGTCTGTAAAAAACAATGAATTTGATGCGGAACTCTTGTGTTCCATTGGACCCGGCTAGCACAATACTTCATCTTAATTGAAAGACCTGGACATAGTAAAAGTATAAAATGCTAGCTGACTAAATGAAACAAGCTAATAAGAGAAAATAATATGAACTGGCCGTCACAATAAACCAGTACTACTAAGTGATAAAACAGAGATTAAAGAACTAGTGCTTATCATTTGTCGTAGTGCTGACTGCTGAGCAAGGGATTATAAGTTGTGTTTAGAAGGTTGGAGAGCAAGACATATACACCCAAACACTTGGACAATGACAGTACTCCGATCAAATTCCAACATATAACCTCATAGGTGGAAGTTTTACATGTCCCAGGAAGGAACTCGATTTATGGTGTGGACAACTGTGAGATTGGTGATGCATGACAACACAAGGTGGGTGTTTCCTATGATTACTGCAAGTTCGGATGATAAAAATTTGAAGTCATAAAGTAGTTCAAGTAGTTCCTTTTTGGTGGAGCAACACACATAGACAATACACACAACACACAACCCTATTCACCTACAAACATAATATGGACCTGTTCTGAATGGAAAGAACGCTTCATTTACTTAATAAGCTTACTCTTAAGGGATGCATCTAACTTCACATAGCCGGTTCTACTTTCTACCCCAGAAAATTGAATGCAAGTTTACTTCCAAAAAAACAAAAGAAAGAAAAAGAACAACTTATAACACTTAATCATGTTCCTATAGTTAAACAATGTGCACGAAAACCCAACCCCACAATCATCCTAGCAGCAAAAAAATTCTTTATCCCCAGATCTTTTAAAGAAAAGGAACCCATTAAAGAAAAAGCAAAGAAAACCGGTATTTGATCCTCCCACAGGCAATTGAATAAAAATGAATTTCTAAGAAAGTTGGGAGCCAAGGCAATTACATTAAAGAACACCCAGAAACCAGTAAACCAAAACTTAACCGTCGGTTGTTTACGTTGTGTGATCTTAACCGTCGGTTGTAGCAAGTGTCATGGATCATCTCACGATGCCAACACAATAGTCGCAACACATGTCGGACCCCAAACTTTTACTCGCATCTTGACCTGTTTGCCTAACTCACGTGTTGCCATCCTACTCATTTATTCGATTCACACGTAATACAATTTTAATTGTTCAATTTCACACTTCAACTTGTAAATAGGTAAACCTCCTTCATTTCTACACCATTTTACAAATGGGAAAATTTTAAAAATTGTCACAAGTGGAAGAAATAAATGAAGAAATGCAAGCGCTCCATAATAATGCTACATGAGAACTTGTCCTTGTTCGAAATAGGAAAACGAACTGTAGGGCATAGATGGGTCTCCACTAGAACTGGGCATCTGGACCGAAAACCCGATCAAACCAGCCAAACCAAATTAGCAGTCTGAGTTGTTTGGTTTTTTCAAACAGTAAGCGCGTAGATGGGTCTCCATTGTAAAGCTTAAACTAAATGGTACATCTAAAAGATACAAGGTAGGTTGGTTAAAAAAGGGGTATGCTTAGGTGCAATATTTAGGTGCATTAAACTTGTTCACCCCATTGTGATTAACAAATTTTCTTCATACACATGAGAATCATAATTATTTATTTCCTACATCTGCAAAATAAACAAAAAATCAATCAAATTAAGTGTTACGATCATGACATGTGTATCGCACAAATTCATTAATCACAATGGGTGGACAAGATTGCATGTAAGTATTGTCCTAAGAAATACTCTATTTTTCCCAGTGATCATTTAACAGATGAGCTTACTTATGATGACTTTGTTTATAGTTTATAGTCAATACACCAAAAGGGTCCTTGACTTGTAGACCAAAGATCTCAAGTTCGAATATCATGGCATCTTGGTTATGTGTGTGTGAGAAACTCCACTCTCATCTAATTTAAACTATTGCTTGTACTAAAAAACGTATTTATATAAATTTAGGGTTTTTATGTAAAACAAATTCCACATATTTATGATTGGTGATGGGGCCCCATTTATCACCAAAAATGACTACACATTAAAACCGCTATCTTTAGGTTAAATCAAATCCATTATTTATTGAAGTAGGTGAATATGAATCCCCTCTCATTCTTACTTCCTATATATAAATGCCTCAACCAACAAGCCCATACTACCAAAACTGAAATGGCTGCAACCTCATCTTCCAGACTTTTCTTCTTAGCCCTCTCCCTCCTTGCTTGCTTTCCCTTCTGCAATTGCCATTGTAGTGTAAGTAATAAAAATGCAGAGGGTGGGATGATGAAAGGGATGTTTGTGTTTGGAAGCTCCTTGGTTGACAATGGAAACAATAACTTCTTGCCAAACTCTCTGGCCAGAGCTGATTACTTGCCCTATGGAATTGATTTTCCTCTTGGGCCTTCTGGAAGGTTCACAAATGGCAGAAATGTTATTGACCTTCTTGGTGGCCATCTTAAGCTACCTTCCTTGATCCCAGCTTTTTCTGACCCCAAAACTAGAGGAAGCAAGATTGTTCATGGTGTCAACTATGCTTCTGGTGCTTCTGGTATACTGGATGATACTGGCTCCTTAGCGGTATGCCAATTTACTTCATCTTTATCATTATCATCATCTTCTTCCTTTTATTATTATTATTATTTTTAGTTTCTACTTCTTCCTCTTGGACTACACATGTCACCATGAGTACATGATGACCGTTATATATTATATTTTAACAGTTGGAACCGTCTAGATTAAAACATGTAGTCGTTATCCATAAAATAGACAAACATAGTGCTTTAAAAAAATACTAAAACGAGAACTACTTAGTTAAATGATTTCGAATTTGAGTGAAATACAACATAGACCGGGTTCCACAGAGATTATTTGAGGAGAAAAAAACGCTCTTTAGCAGTAAACGGCCAAATTTTAATGTTATTAACCCAGAAACATTCTATATTAGCAAAAGGAAAAAACAAAAACACAGAGATCTTCCTTAGAAATAAAAAGTGATGATGTGACTGAACCAATGACAATAATGATGATCTGTATTCCAGCTGTGAAGTTTAATTTGTTGGTGACTTGTTGCTTCGGAAGTGAT